TCCTGGCTCAGGCATCCTGTGCAGTGGGAGTGGGGAGAGCCCTGACTGGGCCTCTAATCTCAGCCTCACTTTCATGAAAATGCTGCCAGTGCTGACTGTTATGTTTGTTGAAAGTTTCTTTTTTTTTTTTTTTTAAGATTTTATTTGTTAATTCATGAGAGACACAGAGAGAGGCAGAGACATAGGCAGAGGGGGAAGCAGGCTCCATGCACTGGGAGCCCGATATGGGATTCGATCCCGGGTCTCCAGGATCGCGCCCTGAGCCAAAGGCAGGCGCCAAACTGCTGCGCCACCCAGGGATCCCTGTTGAAAGTTTCTTGCTGAAAAATAAATTTTTTTAGGGATCCCTGGGTGGCGCAGCGGTTTAGCACCTGCCTTTGGCCCAGGGCGCGATCCTGGAGACCCGGGATCGAATCCCACGTCGGGCTCCCGGTGCATGGAGCCTGCTTCTCCCTCTGCCTATGTCTCTGCCTCTCTCTCTCTCTCTCTCTGTGGGACTATCATAAATAAATAAAAATTAAAAAAATAAAAATAAATTTTTTAAATGTCATATTTGGCATGATTTAACTATCAAATATCTTACTGAATGACCTACAGTGCTCAAATATGTTTTGTTTAAATCTGTTATTTTGTTGTATCACCTTAATCAGTGTTCGAATATGGAATCCTTTTTTCATTAATGGACTAAAGTGAATTTGGCTAATATTAATTGCTAAGTGGTTAAATTTAAATGACTAAAGTCATATTTATATCTTATGCATTTAAAGGAGATTCAAGGGATCCCTGGGTGGCGCAGCGGTTTGGCGCCTGCCTTTGGCCCAGGGCGCGATCCTGGAGACCCGGGATCGAATCCCATGTCGGGTTCCCGGTGCATGGAGCCTGCTTCTCCCTCTGCCTGTGTCTCTGCCTCTCTCTCTCTCTGTGTGTGACTATCATAAATAAAAAATAAAAAAATAAAAACTTTAAAGGAGATTCAAGTTAGAATTTTCTTTTTCCATTTTGTTCCTTTTTAAAAAAAGATTTATTTTAAAGAAAGAACAAGTGCCCAGGTGTGGGTGCAGAGGGAGAGAGAGGAAGCCGACTCCCTGCTGTATCCCAGAAACCTGAGGTCATGACTTGAACCTACACAAAGAGCTGGAGGCTTAACAGACTGAGCCACCTAGGTGTCCCTCATTTTGTTGTTTTTTTTAATAGCCTAATATAATATGAGCAAATTAATTTTTCTTCCTTAAAAGAGTTTATATCACATTGGAACTATATCTGGCTTAAAATAAATAAAATCCTACTAGATTCAAAGACCTCCAATGCCTTTTAATCTGTATGTTGAAATTGGTTCTTCAGATTATGTTTTAGTCAGGATTTGCAACATAATCTGGAAAGTAATCCACTTCCCTTAAAAATACAGATTTTTAAAAGAGATTTTATTTATTTATTCATGAGAAACACAGAGAGGCAGAGACCTAGGCAGAGGGAGAAGCAGGCTCCCTGCAGGGGGCCTGATGCGGGACTCCATCCCAGGACCTAAGCCAAAGGCAGACGTTCAACCACTGAGCCACCCAAGCATCCCCATAAATATGGATGTTTTTAAAAATAGAAGGTGCTTAACTATTTTATATTCTGAGCAGAAATGCATTAGGCCTCCAGTTTCTCCACACCTACACAACGTTTTCACTCTTTTGTAGTCATTGTAACAGGTGTAATACTGCATTATAGTTTTGATTTTCATTTTCCTAATGCCAGTGAGCGTATTCTTATTTGCTTATGAGCCATTCATGTATCTTTGGTGATGTGTCTATTCAAGTCTTTTTCCCATTTCTTTTTTAATTGAGTTGATTTATTTATGAGTTATAAAAGTTCTTTGCATATTGTTCACTTGGGGATGTCTTCATTTTGCCCTAATTTTTTACTGATAGTTCTGCTGGATATACCATTCCTTTTGACTTTTTAAAAAATTTTTTCAGCACTTAGAATATTTTCTTCCACTATCTTCATTTGTTTACTATTACTGATGAAGTGCCAGTCATAGTCCCATTGTGTGGGACTAGTCCCTTCAGTGTGATGAGTCTTCTCTCACTGCTTCAGGATTTTTTTGTCTTTTGTTTTCAACACTTTAACTATGATTTGTCTCTTACAATGTCTGGACTTTGAATTGTAGTTGGAAATGATCTTATTTTCATATTATGGACATATTTTTATACTGTTTATAACTTATTTTTCTTTAATTATTTAAATTTAATTTAGTTAACATATAATGTATTATTAGTCTCAGGGGCAGAATTTAGTGATTCATCAGTTGCATATAACATCTAGTGCTCATTCCATCAAGTGCCCTCCTTAATGCCTATCACCCAGTTACCCTATCCCCCATACACCTCTCCTCCAGCAATGCTGTTTGTTTCCTAGAGTTATGGTTTGCCTTTCTTTCTGTTTTTGTCATATTTTATTTTTCCTTCCCTCTGCTATGTTCATGTTTTGTTTCTTAAATTCCATATACGAGTGCAATCATAAGGTATTTGATTTCCTCTGACTTATTTGGCTTAGCATAATCCCCTCTGGTTCCATCCACATCATTGCAAATGGCAAGATTTCATTCCTTTTGATGGCTGAGTAACACTCCATTGTGTGTGTGTGTGTGTGTGTGTATCTTTATCCATTCATCTGTCGATGGACATCTGGACTCTTTCCATATTTTGGCTATTGTGAATATTGCTGCTATAAACATTGGGGTCGGGACGCCTGGGTGGTTCAGTGGTTGAACACCTGCCTTTGGCCCAGGGTGTGATTCTGGAGTACCGGGATCGAGTCCCACATCAGGCTCCCCGCATGGAGCCTGCTTCTCCATCTGCCTATGTCTCTGCCTTCTCTCTCTGTGTGTGTCTCTCATGAATAATAAATAAATTAAATATTTTAAAAATAATAAAAATAAACATTGGGGTACACGTGTCCCTCCAAACTCACTATTTTCGTATCTTTTGGATAAATACCTAGTAGTGCAATTGCTGGTTTGTAGGGTAGTCCTATTTTTAACTTTCTGAGGACTTACTTTTTTTAACCTTTATATATCTGATCCATTTGTACTTTTATTCTGATACATAGTTTGAGATAGTGAAGGAATCTCCAAATAACTACCCTGCCCTTCCAACAGCATTTTTAAATAGTTCATTACTGATGAAACAGTGTAGTATCTTGACTTTACCCATTCTTTTGTGTGTGTGTGGTTTTTTTAACGATTTATTTATTAGAGAGCATTGGGGGGGGGTGCAGAAGTAGAGTGACAGACTCCCCACTGAGCGCAGAGCCTGACACAGAACTCAGTCCCAGGACTCAGGATCATGACCTGAGTCTAAGTCAGCCACTTAATTGACTGAGCCACCCAGGCACCCCATTGACTTTACCCATTCTAAGGACAAAAGGTATTACAGAGAACAATTCAGATTTCTTTAGTTATATCATGGATGTAACTATCAACAACTATCAACATTGTTACTTCAAAAGTATTTCCTTTATATTGTAGGTAACAGGAAATAATCATGTTATAAAGTTGGTGATGTGAGAAACAAAGGCAGATGAAAAATTATTAACTTTCCCTACTACCTGCAGCCCATTGACAAATCCTTGAAACAGGCAGAGTGACCTTCCTCTAAGAACTCAGCTGCCTTGATCTCAGCTGCCTTAACTTTGCTAAGGGCAAAAGGCAATCTTAGCCCAACCTCCAGGATCCTGTAAGTCTAACATATAAAAATTCCTTTAGAGACTTCCTTTATCTCTACTCCCCAAGATACATGTTGGCAAGCATCCCCCAAGCGTATGACCCACCAATACACATCTGAAGGATCTCATGACTCAGGTTTTATTGGACAGCCATAAATTACCTTTTCCCATCAATAGCTAGCTCCCTCAAGAAAAGTCGTTAGCAACTTAAACCATCCCAACTTGAAAGTATATAATGGGCCACTCCTCATGACCCCTCTGCAGCTCTTTCTGTCCCTGTGTCCTGACCCTGTGCTTTAATAAAACCACCTTTTTGCACCAAAGACATCTCAAGAATTCTTTCTTGGCCATTGACTTCAAAACCTAACGTCTTTTCCTACATCATTTGGGATTTAACAAATTAAGAGAACAATGCTATAGGTTCAATTTGATATGAAAATATTTGAATAGGAACATAAGAATTCTCCCACTTCTGTTCAGGGAAAATACCTAAAAGCAGTGTCAGCCCAAGAGTATGGAGTTTGTGTTCTCCGATGTCATTTCCAAACATCAGGAGAAGTGGTTGATTCTGCATCTGAGGTAGAAGTGGTGAAAAATAAAGTGAACCGACAAGAAAAAGCCAAAAGTAACCGATCATCATTCAAGGTAGTTTTTAGAACGACTGATTACTCTAGAAAGTGTTTTTTTCTTTAGAGATTATATTTTATTTATTATGAGAGGCACACAGAGAGAGAGGGGCAGAGACACAGAGGGAGAAGTAGGCTCTATGCAGGGAGCCCAACGTGGGACTCGATACCGATACCGGGTCTCCAGGATCACGCTCCGGGCTGAAGGCGGTGCTAAACCGCTGGGCCACCGGGACTGCCCTAGAAAGTGTTAAAGAGACAAACCTGCCGCCTTTACAAGAGATCAATCCTGGAGTGGAAACATAGCCCCACTTTATAAGGGAAAGCCTTAAGTTATAGAAATAGCCTAGTTAATGGATGTACAAGGAATGTCAGAATTAGAAAAAAAATGGCTTTTGTTTTTAATAAAATGATCCGAGGGAAAAGTCGCAATCACGCTAAAATCAACCACTTAGCAGTGAGTAACATCACAGATGACTACCACCCTTATGTAAGGGACCCAAATGCATGTTGGGAACGGGTCCCCCCTCCCGTCCCTGCGCGTTTGCTCTGAACTACATTTCCCAGGAGTCTGTGAGCACAGCTCCTTGGAGACCGTGTACTGTTGTACGCTGGGAAAGTGGACCACCGCGCCCCCAGCTCCTTGTATTCCCGAGCTGCTGGACTACATTACCCAGAGGCGCCGTGCACCGCCCCCTCCGCGGAGTCGGAGCGCAGCGAGGCGCCTGCCGGGAGACGCTTACTGCGCCGAGGATTGTCTGGGTTCAGCATCCCGCGGCCCTGGTCCCGAGTTGATTTAGTGCCTTGTGCCGCCTCCCGACATCCGGCGGGTCGTGGGGCCCCGAGCGGTGAGTGGCCGGCCTCCCGAGAGGGAATCCGCGCGCGCTCTGGTCGGTGGAGGGCGGCCGGGAGGGTGCTCCGCGCGAGGAGGCCCGACGCGGAGTCCGGGCCCGCGGCCGCGGAGAGAAGTACGGGGCTACGGGGCTACGCGGGGGTGTCGGGGCCCGGGGACCCCGGGGAGGGGGCAGGCCCCGGCTCGGTGACTGTGACGCACTTTGGGGAGCGTGTGGGGGCGGGGCGGCACGGCCGGCGGAGACTGCGCGGCGGTGGGAGGGGCTCATGCGCCGCCGCGGGGGTGACGGAGGGCGGGATGGGGGCACCGGGTCCGGGAGCACCCTGCGGTCTGAGGTCGCGGCTGCTTTCTCCGGCCTCGCGGGCCAGCGCAGGGCCAGTGGCCGGGAGGGAGGGCAGGGCAGGGCCCGACCCCGCAGAGAAATTAGCCAGCAGGAGGGGCGCAGTCACAACCCCGAGGTGACCGGTTCAGGACCAGAAGCGCCCTTCTTCCGCGCTGATTTCAGGACCCCACTTCTTGCAGCCTAGTCCTCTAGAAGCGTTGAGAGATACTCAGATCCCAGTCGCCTCCCCACCCCCTTATTTCTGATTGGTTTTCTGTTTTTCTTCTTATCTTTTTAAAAGATTTTATTTATTTGATACAGAAAGCGCGGGCAAGCCGGGGGAGGGGCAGGAGAGGGAGAAGCAGGCCCCGCAAAGAGCAGGGCGCCGAGTATGGGGCTCTCTCCCAGGACCCTGGGATTATGACCTCAGCTGAAGGCAGATGCTTGACCGACTGAGCTATCCAGGCGCCCCTCCTATTGGTTTTTGTTAGGTGTGTGGGCCTGGAGGGTATTCTCTGCTCCAACTTATGCTCCAGAAAGGCCCTAGTGTGTCCTTCTTTCTTTCCCCCAGGCCAGCCATCCTCCAGAACCAGCATCCTGAGGAGGAAGACAACTTGTGACACATCTTAAAGTCAAGGTTCAGATGAGTTACCTCTTTGTTGAGTAAATGTGTTTCTAGGACTTCAGAATATTTGCTTTTCTTGGCCCGAAACGTTCTTCCAAACAGTGACTAATTCTTTCCTGAGAAGTGTGATGGGGATGTGCAGGTGTATGCACAGAGCACAGAACAGAAGAATGCGGTGGGGAGGTTCTTGTTGTGCTTTATTTTAGCCTGCGATTTAGTCAGGAGGATACTCATTCTAAGGTGGAATCAAACACCAGGAATCCTCAATCTTTCCCACAGGCCTGACTCGCAGATTGCAATGAGAACAGAGGTCTTAATGTTTTTGCCAGTCAGTGACCAAGTAAGCAGCTTGGTGATGCCTTTAAATGTGGGGTTTGAGGGGGCGCCTGGCTGGCCCAGTCCCCAGAGTGTGCAACTCTTAGTAAACGTGCTTCCGGAGTGAGCAACTCTTGATCCCAGGGTCATGAGTTCAGCCCCACCTTGGCCGTGGAGCCTACTTCAAATTAAAAAAAAAAAAAATTCAAAGAAATTGAGCCATTTTAACAAATAAATGAAACGGGGTTTGAGCAAAGATCTTTGTCAGAGGCAGGGTTGGTTTGTTTGTTTTTTCAGTGATCAGTAAATAGAAATTTGTTGTATTATCCGGGTCTTGTGGGAAGTCTGACAGCTTCATTCTGCTTCACTTGTATCTGTATGAACCACATAGTTTGATGTTGAGTGTGAATTCTGGAACTAGAGCAGGATTTGGCAAACTTTCTCTCTAAAAGGTCATGTACTGAACAGTTCCTTTGTGGGCCACATATGGTTCCATATTCTTCTTCTTTAATAGATCTTGATCATTTTTAGAATGATTTTAGATTTGTAGAAAAAATTGCAGTTAGTACGGAGAAGTCACAGACACCCCACACCCACAGTCCCCTATTGTTAACAACTTACATTTAGTATGGATGTCTCCTATTTTTACCTATTGTTAACAACTTACCATTAGTACAGGACATTATTTACAACTGGTGAACTGATATTGATAAGCTATTGTTAACTGAAATCCATGCTTTATTCAGATTTCCATAGTTTTTACATAACGTTCTTCATGTGTTCCAGGATGCCATCCCGGAGATCACATTACATTTCATTGTCATGTGTCCTTATGCTCCTCTTGGCTGTGACAGTTTCTCAGACTTGCCTTGTTTCTGATGACCTTGACGGTTTTAAGAGGTACAGGTATTTGGTAGGATGCCCCTTTCTTGGAACCTGATGCTTTTCTTGTGATTGGACTGGGTTTATGGTTTGGGGGGTGGAAGAGTGCTACTTTCATCATGTCATGGCAAGAACATAAACGGTCAGCATGATATATGATTGCTGAGTGTGATCATCTGGCTGAGGTAGTTTGTCACTTTTCTCTACTGTGATGTTACTCCTGTTTTTCAAAGACCATGTCTCCCCAAGTGACAACTGCATGTTCCAGAAGCCCTGTCACACTAGAGCCTAGTCACTGAGCCTTGGTGGTCACATCTTTCTTCTCACTTACTCATTGGCTTATAAGGATCCCTGCAAAATACACTGGCCCACCTGGCATAATGCAGGCTGCCTCCCTGTCTTGAGGTCAGCTGACGAGCGACCCCAAGTCCACCTGCAGCCTACCTCTCCTTTTCCATGTAATGTAATGTATTCACAAGCTCCAGAGTTAGGATATGGACACATTTGGGAGACAGTTATCCTGCCTGCCACAGGCCTATCCATCCACAGTTCCCCTGTTGTCTGCAATATACCCACTCCTCCATAACTGTGGAATTGTTCATTGTTGAATTTTTTAAAATTTGTGACTATCGTAAATTATATTTCTTATCATGGATTTAATACAGGCCTGCTACAAAAGGTTCAGTTTCCTAAGGAGCCCATAAAGAAGAAATTTGAAATTACCCATAGCTGTATCATCCAGAGATAATTGCTGTCAATATTTTGGTATGTATGTTTCCAGCACCCACCCCCATACATATGTATGTGGTTTTGACTCCAGAGCATTGGATCCTGCTAATTGACACACAATTAAGCCAAACACTGTTCAAATCTTAGTTTATAGAGGAATCTACCTCAGCTATGGGTGACATTATACCTGTTGCATGTGGAGAAGAGAGATGTGTGCCAGTGATCCTCATCTTACTTTTAAAAAGTCTCTCACATATTTACACCTTAAAAGATTAGAAAGACATCATTTGAAACTAATCCCATGAACAAATTATCAGTAAAGACAGACTTTTAAAATCCGACTTCCCAGGATTTTTTTCTTTCACAGAACATGACAATAATCCCTGACTTACTACAAATATGAGCTGTACTAGAACATTTCTTCGGGCAGATAAGATACACGAGAAAAACGTAAGACAACAGTAGTTTAAAACAATCACGTTACAGAGGTACCTGGTTGGCTCAGTCAGTGGAGCCAACTCTTGATCTCAGAGTCGGGGCTTTGAACCCCATATTGGGTATAGTGATTGCTTTTTTAAAAAATGAAAGTTTTTGGGGCACCTGGGTGGCTCAGTGGTTGAGCATCTGCCTTCAACTCAGGTCATGATTCCAGGGTCCTGGGATTGAGTCCTGCATTAGGCTCCCCACAGGGAGCCTGCTTCTCCCTCTGCCTGTGACTCTGCCTCTCTCTCTGTGTGTCTCATGAATAAATAAATAAAATCTTTTTAAAAAAATGAAACTGTTCACAGAAATCTTCCATATCATATGGAATACAAGATCTGGCCACTTGCTAGTGTTCTCAATTTGACATCGTTTGTTTTATTTTACTTTATTTTATCTTATTTTATTTTTATTTTATTTTATTATTTTATTTATGACAGAGTGTGCAAGCAGGGAGGAGAGGCAGAGGAAGAGGGAGACAGAATCTTAAACAGACTCTACACCCAGTATGGAGCCTGACACGGGGTTCAGTCTTGCAACCCTGAGATCATGACCTGAGCCAAAGTCAAGAGTCCGGCATGTAACCAGCTGAGCCACCTAAGCACCTGTCAGTGTACATTCTTTGGACTGGAATTGCCATGTAGAATCACGTCTGTTGGGATCCCTGGGTGGCGCAGCGGTTTAGCACCTGCCTTTGGCCCAGGGCGTGATCCTGGAGACCCGGGATCGAATCCCACGTCGGGCTCCCGGTGTATGGAGCCTGCTTCTCCCTCTGCCTGTGTCTCTGCCTCTCTCTCTCTCTCTCTCTCTCTCACTGTGTGCCTATCATAAATAAATAAAACAAACAAACAAAAAAAAAAATCACGTCTGTTCCTCTCTGCTGGTGGAGAGGGAACATTTCCTCCTTACATGTCTTAGACTCTTTTTTTTTTTGCTAATGTTAATTTAAGAGAATTTCATTTTTAAGAGGCTCTGAAAGTTTTTAGTGTGGATTATATAGATAGCAGGTGTGAAGTACATGTTTTAGCATAAGAAAGGAAAAACAGACTTGAGTTTCTTTTATAAAAACAGATTAAGGGTGGTTGTTGTGTTGTTCTTTTTTTTGTTTTTTAAGATTTTATTTATTCATGAGAGACCCAGAGAGAGAGGCAGAGACTTAGGCAGAGGGAGACACAGGCTCCCTGCAGGGAGCCCAGTGTAGGACTTGATCCCAAAACACTGGGATCATAACCCAAGTGGAAGGCAGATGTTCAACTACTGAGCCACCCAGGTGCCCCCACATTAAGACTTGTATAATGTTATCGTTTCCTTTCATAACAGCTAACTTGTCTTAAATAACTTAATATTACTGTGTTTTATTCAAATTATCTTTCTAATAGTTGATTCAGTCTTACCTGGCAGGTACTGTTTCTACCCCAGTCTTACCTGTGGGGAACAGACAGTGTGAGGTTAGTAACAGAGTTCAGATTCACATCCTGAAAGTCAAACCACAGAGCCTTATTCTTGCTTTCACCAAGACCTCTCATCCCAAATTACACCTACATTATTAAATGTATAGTAATACCTTCTTCACTTAGTAATTCAGCATAAACTTCTTTCTCAAATAGTATAAATCAATATCATTATTAGCGTATTAGATGCCACTGTAGCAGACCATAATTTATTTATCTTTGCCACAGGTATTTCTATGCTTTCTTTTCATTTTTTAAAATGATTCTCTGGAAAATCTGAATAAACTTAATGGATTATATCAGTATCAATGTCCTGGTGGTTATATTGTACTATAGATTTGTGATGTGTTACCGTTGGGGTCAGCTGGGTAAAGGGTCCATGGGATCCCTCTGTGTTCTTTCTTACAACTGCAGGTGAATTTACTATTATCTCAAAAATTGTTTTTTAACTGTCCCAATTTTTAAAAATCCCTTGAACATTCTCATATATTTGTGCACTTCTGTACCTGTTTCCTTGGGATAAGTTCCAAAAAGTGGAATTTTGCATCAATACGGTGCTTTTATTAAGTACCTACAATATGATACAAGTATTGGGAACAACAAACGACTAAAAGGACATTGTTACCCGTACATTGTTTATGTCTCAGCTGGAAAGGGAAACTGAGTGGAGCTCAAGGCAGCCTGTGGTCAAGGCCAGTGGAGACTTCTAGGTGATATGCCGTGAGGGGTGCTGAGAAGGGGGCCACTGTTGTCAGGTCACGACCAGATAATTGTGAACACATGGGCTCTGTGTGAAGTAAAATGGAATTTGTTTCCTAAGTTTTGTATCTTAAGTGTTTTCTCTGATGATATTGATGCAAAGTGAAGACTAACAGGGTCAGGTGGTTTAGCATTCCACAGGACACCATGGCTGGAAGGATAGCTCGGAAGTCACATTCATCCTCCCACCAAGACAGCCATCAGTACTACAGGACATCCCTTGGAATCTTAGTCATTAGTCTTAGTCCAGTTGGCCCTCACATATGTGGATATAGGTAGGAGTCAGAGAGTTGGTTTAGGTATATTAGGAAGCAAAAGGAAAGAAAAGTTGTACATAAAATAATGCGAAGGTATCTCAAGACTTTTAAAGTTTCTCTTTGAGAGTCTATCATTTAATGAGTTTGAAAGAAATAAACACACATACATATATATGTCAAGCCAATGCCTGGCTTTTGTTATACCCCTAGTGAGGTATACTTGAAGAAAACCAAAGTCAGAGAGTGTGTCAGAGGCAAGGTTCTGTGATTCTCTGTGTGTACTCAGGATTTGACGAGTAGTCCTGTTCAAGGCCAGGATTTATTACAGCAAAATGATACACAGCACAATCAGAGGGGCAGGTGCATGGGATGGACGACATGGGGAAGAAATGAGGCACACACTTCCAGAGCACTCTCATGGTGCAGTCACATAGGACATGCTTGATTCCTCCGTCAGTGAGTTATAGCAAGATACATGACGCTTTTTCCACCAGGGAAGCCCATCTGAGCCAAGGAAGCCAGGGTTTTTATCACAGGTCAGTCACAGAGGCACCCTCTCTCTGCCATATACCAAAATTCCAGGCTCCCAGAGGAAAGTAAGGATTCAGTATAAACCACATCATTGATACTGTTTCAAAGCAGTGAGCCACTCTTGTCAGGGAACACTGGGGACCCCCTGGACGTTCTGGAAATCCAGCCAAAGGCCAGTCTCGCCGTTTCACACCTGCTTTGTTTACTCTTGCTGCACAAAGGATTTATAACTTCCCAGGCTTTTTCTTTCTGTTTCTCTGTTTCTATTTTATATCTTTTTTTTTTCTGTTGATGTTGTGTGTGTGTGTCTTCTCTGTGTATGATATATATAAGCATCGTGTGTGTGTGTGTGTGTGTGTACATGCTCATATATAGAATTTTACAAGTGTATTGTTGTATCCTAGTTTCTTTGCTGACCATGTATCTGAAGTGTTATTCATGTCTTGTAAGGAATTCTTCCAACTTAATGTTTCACAATCATTTACTCTTTTGCATCAGTACTCTGCATGTATTGCTGCAGTGAGCTTTTATGGACGTAGGGTGCTGAATGTTACCTGGGCCTTTCCTTCTCCACCCTGTCCATCTGCCATGCTTGACCAACCTCACCCTACAAGCCAGGAGAGGTTCAGGTTTGCATGGTACACCCCCTCTTCATCCTGGATGGTGTGGTTGGAGGGAGCAGGATGTTGCTCCGAGTAAGACCATGCACCCTAAATGAACCCCATCTCAGGTCCAGATCACAATGTCCCTGCCCAGAGTTAGCCAGACTGGGAGGTTTGGGGGCACAGTATGCACATGAGATCATCCTCAGTTCTGACACCACATTCAAGGTCAAGACTTTTCCAAAGCCACCCTCAAGCTAGAAGGATTCCTAGAACTCACCAAGAGCTGTTTTTCTCGCAGTTCCAGGTAATTACAGGGAAAGGATGCAGATTAACATCAACCAGGGAAACAAGCACATAGGCTGAAGTCTAGGAGTATCCCCAACATGGAGATTCCAGTTCGTCTGTCCCTGAAGTTAGGACTGGATGCTCTTATCAGCATTGACATAGGACAATATGCATAGACTGTCGCCAAACAGGGAAGCTCACCAAAGTTTTGAGGCCCAGAGTTTTCAGTGGGGCTTCAGCACATAGGCACAGCTGATTAAATGATTGATCATCCAGACATGACTGACCTGTTGTCTACATGTTAATCTCAGTACCCAGGTCAGTTGATACCCCATGACCCAGAGCACCTATCCCAAATCACCTGATTGGTCTTGGTGTAGCCAGTTCCCACCCTAAGACTGGTTGGGAATGGCTAACTGCACCCAAAACAAAGACATTCCTATCAGGTATGATGTCAATTACCCTTTGGAAGTTGAGGACAAAAAAAAGATCTTATCAATTGCAACAAGAAGGATGCACCTAGAGAATTATGCTAAATGAAAGAAGAGAAAGATAAATACCATATGACTTCACTGATAGTGGAATCTAATAAAGCATATGAACAAACAAAAACAAACCCATAAATACAGAGAACAGATGAACATAATTGCCAGAGGGGAGGGGGAAAAATAGGTGAAGGGGAACAGGAGGCTCAGGCTTCCAGTTATGGAGTCACAGGGAGGAAAGGCACAGCATAGGGATCATAGTCCCGTGGTACTGGTAGTATCATGTGACAGATGGCAGCTACACCTTTGGTGCACACAGCGGTGAACCTACTTTAAAAAAATTTTTTTAAGTTGTGTTGAGAAACAACAGCTGAAAGTAGGTCTGATTTCAAGGCAAAAACAAAAACTCTTCTCTGTGTGTGCAGCTGGGTTTCTTAGGGCTTCAGGGAGAACTCTTCCCTTTTGTCCAGACTCTTCATACTCCCCGATGCATCACATTGATGTGTGTGTATTGGGGGGAGGAAACGGCCAACGGGTGGGGGATTGGAAACAAAATGAAAGAGTAGGAAACTTGTATTAAATCACTTGGGGACCAAGATGCACTTATTGTAATGCCTCTTTTTTTCTCATATATCTCTGGCTTCTCTGGATTTTGTGTCTTTGGTAAAAGAAACCTCAAGAGGACTGATCAGTTCTTGATTCTAAAACTATGGCGCACGTAAGTATATATTTCTCTTTCCTTAAAATATGATATTTAGGTCCTGTGGCTGTTTTTATGAATTACCCTGAAGCCTCCTGCCCAACTGAGGCCCATGTAATTACCCACTGCCCAGTTCTTCCTGTTCTGGCAAATGATGATGCCATGCAGCCCCATTCCCACCTATGTGCCTAATGCCCACTTCACTGAGCTAGTGATTCAGTGTCTCCTGTGTACACACCCTCCCATCAGGAGTAATGCTGGAGCAGTGGGGAGGACAGCCACTTGAGAGAAATCCTTGAGTCACATTTGTCTTTTAATAAGTAGGAGATGGTGATCCCATTTGACCACACACAAAAACTAACCCCCCCCCCCATTCTCCATGAATGTTTTTTCCAGGCAGAGGAGGCAATGTTCGTGTTGGTTGGTCTCCATGTCAGTGGTGGTTAGAGCTGGAGCTCCATGAGGCTTTGGGAATAGATAAGGCTGTGGTCATAGCCTGAGGACTGAGAGGCCATGATGCTACCAGGGGACCCAAAGGGTGCATGTTGTTGTCAAACAGACCCACCATCCCTCACTGGTGCATCCACATTGTCAGACACCTAAATCCTAAATCAGCAGAGAAAAGGCAGGGGTGGTGGGTAGTAATGGGGAAGAAGGTCACAGTGTACAAAAGTCCCAGGTGATCACACACCCTCAGAATTGGGGAAAACCTTGGATACTTTGGGTGTACAACTTTAAGTCACCGTTACAATGGAATAAGAAGATGCTTTTGTCATTACGTAGGAAGACTGCCTGAAACCTGGGCAAAATGATGAACTTGAGGTTTGAGAACATTCAGACACATAAACCCTAGTTTCAAAGATAAAAGATCTCACTTCACATTTCAGAAACTAAACCCTGGGCATTGTCCTTGCCTTGATGGAGAGAGTGCAACAGGCGTCCACTTTGCCGAGCTGTTATGAGGCAGGCCCATGGCAGGCCCTGTGCTTGTGAACAGGAGGAACCCCGGGATTGTGTCAAACATCCTGACGGCTTGGGATTAACAAGCATTGCACAGGATGTGGGGTTTCTGTGCAGCAGCGAGACTCTTTAAGAACATTAGGAGCTCTGCTCAGTCACAGTCCCCACGGCGCCCTACCCACCTCACAGGCCTGTAGTCTGTTCCTGTGTCCAGTCCCACCCACAGCAGAGCCCTTTCTGTGCTGTCCATCTCCTCAAGGATGTATGGGTTTGTGTTCTCAGGGTTTGGTGACATTCTCAGATGTAGCCATTGACTTCTCTCAAGAGGAGTGGGCGTGCCTGGACTCCAGGCAGAGGGACCTGTACTGGGACGTGATGTTGGAGAACTACAGTAACCTGGTCTCCCTGGGTGAGTTGCCTGCCCCCGGGAATGTCAGCACCCTCTACCAGGAATGCCAGGACTGACTTCCAGGAAACAAGTTGAATTTTTTCTTCCTCTAGTAAACCAGCCACATGTTTGATATAGAACAGCAGTCACATAAAACCAAACAAGCATTATACATTTGTTGCTCATTGTACCTGAAGTGAGGTTGAAAGTTTTAATTCCTGATTTCTGAGTTACTTTAGATGACCATGTCTTTTAAATGTCTCAGGCTATGTCTTATTCTTCTGTTAGAGAAATAACCGTCATAACAGTAAAGGCTAGTGTTGTGCTCACCCTATACCAGCATTGGCTATGTGTAAATACACTTCACCTTGCCACACGTTTATGAGGTAGGCACAATTGCTGTGTCTAATTTGTGGGTGAGTATACTCAGGCACAGAGTGACTTGGTTGGACAGGGGAGGCAGAAGCAAGAATCCACACTGTCACTACCCTCTTGTACTTGCCTCTACAGATAAGGTGCTCAGAAGTTTAAAATAAGACCCTTCCTGTCTTGTTGCCTGTTATTTAATCCTTTTTCTTTTCTGAAATTTTATCCTTTTGAGTTTCAGCCTGTAATAAATTTGACTAAGTTTCCATCAAGGAATTTTTGAGCATGTAATTATTTTTTCTTAAGTTCTACATCATGTGGCTTTTTTTTTTCTTTCTGAAAGCAGGACCTCTCGTTTCTTTTTTTTTTTTTTTAAGATTTTATTTATTCATGAGAGACACAGAGAAAGAAAGGCAGAGACACGGGCAGAGGGAGAAGCAGGCTCCATGCAGGAAGCCCGATGTGGGACTCAATCCTGGGACTCCAGGATCACGCCCTGGGCCGAAGGCAGGCACTAAACCGCTGAGCCATCCAAGGATCCCAGGACCTCTCATTTCTATAAGTCAGAAGTGATTTGCTACTTTGGGGAGGAAGGGAAAGAGCCTTGATGGCTGAGAGGAAGGACAGGTGCAGAGGAGAGTGACAGCCAGTCTGGCTGGAACAAGCCATCAGTGAAGCAAGCAGCCAGGCAAGGCAGGGAGCAGGTGCACCTGAGGTGTTTGGAAAGCTCCCTAACAAACCTCCATGGCCTCTGGGGAAGAAGTCACCACCATGAACTTGATCTTCACCCCATTCCCCTCCTACCGGTTTTCTTCTGTTTTTGCTCCTGCTTCACATGTTGCTGATGCTCCTGGTCCATGGACCACGCCTTGAGTAGCAGGGATGTAGACGTGATCCCATGCTCTTTGTAGCTCCTGCAAGTTGGTTGATATCCTAGCTTTGAGTACTTTTCTTTTCCTTTTATCTAATATTTGCTAATACTTCTTCCCGGGTGCTGTCAACGTTCTAACATCCTAAGACTTTATCCCATTATGGCTCTTTTTGTGCTGTTAGCACTCACTGACACTCAGTGCATAGATCCACTTCAGTGGATATTCACTATGGTGATCTATCATTGCTTTTTTGTTACTGTACTAATTCATTACAGAGAAACTGTGCTCCATCTGCTAGTTGGTTATGTAGTAATTTTTCATAGTGGATAAAAAGGTTTTTAAAGGAAAAATTATTCTTATAATCAAGGGCTAGTTGGCTAGCATGCTCCACAGCTGATCGTTTAACACTTTCTAGCATCATTATGAACTCATGAATTTAAGCATAGTCTGGGTTTTGCAGCCTCTTGGTGTTAGCATCCCCATTGATGGTCAGATCCCACCTAAATATTCCCTTACAGGCATTTACCATGTATGTTACAGTTAATCCTTCACATTGTCCTTTTTATTTCCTTTGATGGTGGGTCTTTTTATCCAGAATCACTTTTCATTATATGATTGACATTATTTCAGAATGTTATTTTTATACCCAGCTAACCAACTATATATTCTTGTCTTTCACATTAGTTCTATATTTGATATTCCTGGGTTTTCCAGGTATGTCATCACATCATCTGCAAAATGTACTCTTTTTTTCATCTTTATTTATGAGTTTTGCCCCTCCGATTTCTTTCTGCTTAATTGTGTCAGCTGATAGGAAATTGTGGGGCTAATAGGCAGTTCCTTCTTATCTAACTTTAGCAGGAACATCCCCAGTGTTTCCTCATTAAGTATTGTGGTGCCAGAAGTGGACCATACTTTTAATGAGAGCCCTAAGTGATTCATGTTTATTCTCCTGGAGAAGTTTTATTTCCATCAGAGAAGTTTCTGGTTTGTGGTTAGCTTTGTGGTTTAATTTCCCTTAAAAGGAAAACAAAATGTTATTTTTTTTCCAGATTTGGAGTCACCCTGTGGGACCAAGAGTTTACCTACAGAAAAGGGCATTTATGAAATAAATTTATCCAAATGGAACTCAAATGGAAAAAGTAAATCCCTTGGCCTTGACTGGATGTGTGAAGGTGAGTTTGAAGGACCACAGGGCCCTCGAGAGAGCTGTTTCAATCAAATGATAATCAACTATGAAAAAACGCCCACTTGTAGAGAAAATACCTCTGTTAGACCACATCAGAGACTTCATACTAGGGAGAATTCCTATGAATGTAAGGAATGTGGGAAGGCCTTTAGTCGTGGCTATCAACTCACTCAGCATCAGAAAATTCACACGGGTGAGAAACCCTACGAATGTAAGGAGTGTAAAAAGGCCTTTCGTTGGGGTAATCAACTCACTCAGCATCAGAAAATCCACACTGGTGAGAAACCCTATGAATGTAAGGACTGTGGGAAGGCCTTTCGATGGGGTTCAAGCCTCGTCATTCATAAGAGAATCCATACGGGTGAGAAACCCTATGAATGTAAGGACTGCGGGAAGGCCTTTAGACGTGGTGACGAGCTCACTCAGCATCAGAGATTTCACACTGGGGAGAAAGACTATGAATGCAAAGACTGTGGCAAGACCTTTAGCCGTGTATATAAACTAATTCAGCACAAGAGAATTCATAGTGGTGAGAAACCCTACGAATGTAAGGACTGTGGGAAGGCCTTTATCTGTGGCTCGAGCCTTGTTCAGCATAAGAGAATTCATACTGGTGAGAAGCCCTATGAATGCCAGGAATGTGGGAAGGCCTTTACTCGAGTCAATTATCTCACTCAGCATCAGAAAATCCACACTGGTGAGAAACCTCATGAATGTAAGGAGTGTGGGAAGGCCTTTCGCTGGGGTTCGAGCCTTGTTAAACATGAGAGAATTCATACTGGTGAGAAGCCATATAAGTGCACAGAATGTGGGAAGGCCTTTAATTGTGGCTACCACCTCACCCAGCATGAGAGAATCCACACGGGTGAAACGCCTTACAAATGTAAGGAGTGTGGGAAGGCCTTCATCTATGGGTCAAGCCTCGTTAAACATGAGAGGATTCATACAGGAGAGAAACCCTATGAATGTAAAGAGTGTGGGAAGGCCTTTAGTCATGGCCATCAACTTACACAACATCAAAAAATTCACACTGGTGAGAAATCCTTCGAGTGTAAGGAATGTGGGAAGGCATGTAACCATGTGAACCATCTTAGAGAACATCAGAGAGTTCACACTGCTGAAAAACCTTTTGAACAAAAAGAAGGTGCAGAAGCTTCTATACAACGTTCATTCCTGCCATAGCACAAGGAAAATCCATGATACAATTTAACATAAGAAAGCTTTCACTGGTCACTCTTCCGCTTATAGCATCTCAGAATAGTCATGCTCGAGGCAAATTTAGAGAATAGAGAAATCACTTTTTCTTAGTGATCACACACACACAGTGTAGAATTTTTTTCCTGAATTGGCTTAATGAGTGCATAGAAGCTTCCTACCGTTTGAGCTTTGTCTCACTTCAGATTTGTTCTAAGGAATAACTCTGTTAATGCAACGTATGTGGGAAAGCCTCCTGCTGTGGTACACACCCTCCCTGTTACCATCACCATCCCACCTCTTTACTCCTGTGACACACTGGGAAAATGACTTGTTACCCCTATGTGTTATGTGTGAAATGGGGACAATCACACCTACCTAATACTGCTGTTGTGCTGAGTTTGGTACATGTAAACTCTCTGAAGGTGTATCTGGAACATTGTGTAAGTTCAATAAATACTAGCTGTTGTTGTTCTTACCATCATTACTATTAGCCTTGTTCTCCATGAGTTCCTACAGGAACACCCCCTGTGGTTACAAAGAGTTTAGAAAAGATGGTCAAACTTGTAGAAGAAAATATAGATTACCGTCACAGCCTCAGGTGGGTGGGCAGTTTCTTAGGACACAGAAGAGCTAAACAACAAATAAAAAGTTTGTATGTTGGACTTGATTAAAAGTCCAAAGTTCTGTTCATCAAGTGATGCCATAAATATGAAAGAAGTAGGAAGCAGACAGGGAGGAGTAATAGTTACCCTCCACACACCTGATAAAGTACTCACATAGAAAACAAACAGAGGGCAGCCTGGGTGGCTCAGTGGTTTAGTGCTGTATTTAGCCCAAGGTGTGATCCTGGAGACCAAGGATCGATTGAGTCCCATGTCGGGCTCCTTGCATGGAGCCTGCTTCTCCCTCTAACTGTGTCTCTGCCTCTTTCTGTGTGTCTCTCATGAATAAATAAAATATTTTTTTAAAAAAGAAAAAACAAACAGAATCCCCCAAGTCAGTAATAAATCTGTTTTAAAGGGTGAGGGGACTTAAATAAGCACTTAACAAGAGACGATCAAATGGCCAGTGAGGAAGTAGAAACAAGCTCAACATCCCATCTCCTTGAGGAAACACAAAAACCACCATGCGATTTCACTAGACGACCACTAAAATAATTAACATTAAAAATCACATGTGAGCCCAGCACTTTGTTGAGTGGTCACACATCACCTATTTAGGAAGGAATGGAGCCAGCATACGGGACCTCAGCCAGATCCTGGAGATCCCACGGCAGGGTTGAGGAGGTGATGCTTGAGGAGGGAGAGTAGATGGTGTACTATGGGAGGGGCTGGGCCAGTGATAGAGTCCTGGAAGAGTTGGATCAGTGAGACTCAGAAAGGGCCCAAGCCATCTCAGGTGGTCAGTCCTGGAGAGAAGAGTGGGTCCTTTTGTTGAAAGGACTAGAGCCCATGGGAGTGAGTTGAGAAGCTGGGAGACAGAATGGGAGGGCCTGGTATGATGGGGGAAGGAAGTGAGGGGACCATAAAGAAGAGGACTGTGGGACGCCTGGGTGGCTCAGCAGTTGGGTGCCTGCTTTTGGCTCAGGGTGTGATCTTAGGGTCCTAGGATCGAGCCCCACATTGGGCTCCCTGCATGGAGCCTGCTTCCCCCTCTGCCTGTGTCTGCCTCTCTGTGTGTGTCTCATGAATAAATAAAATCTTTTTTTTTTTTTTTAAGGGACTTGTGAGGGTCATGGTAGAGAGAACACAGAGTAGAAGCCCCAGGAGAGGCAGTACTGGGCAGGCCTTGGGTGAACACAGCCAAGATGCAGGATGCTGCCTGGACATAGGGGTGATCCACAGAAGCAAACGGGAAGAGTGTATCAGTCAGGACTCTGGTTCAAGGAGCAAAAGCCTAATTCAAAGTAGCCGAAGGGAATGGGGGTGGGGAGGATAAAAATGACTTGTGCAGAGGAATCACTGGCTTTAGCCTTGTGTGTACCCAGGCTCCCCCAACTTCAAAATATCTGCATTGAGTTTGTGCTTCCTTAGGGTAGCTTTAATGCTGAGGCTGCACACAGTGCTCCTGACCACGCTAGGACCTATCATACTTAGGACTTACATTACCAGGTAGAAAAAGTCTCCAAAACAGTTCCACACATTTTGCAGAATGGAGTCTCTCTGACTGGTTCAAAAATCTATCCTGGAAACTCTGCCCTTGGCAGGATGGATTGAAAATATCTCAGGTGCCAACCATGCCTTATAACCACCCTGGAACTTGCCTAAGGCCCACAGGTAGAGTGGGGCTAGAAATTTTAACATCAGGGGCTCTCATGTATGTTGACCAGATAGATACCAGGCAGGCAGAATCAGCAGCTGTCTACACCAGGGCAGGAATCAGAACGTTCCTGCAACTGGATGAGGGCATGGTTTCAGAAGAGGTGACTCCCCTTCTGGTGTGTGCAGGGGCGGTGGTGAGGGGAATGGAGGCAGCATCTCAGCCCTTCTGTCCCTTTCAGTTTTAAAATTATCCTTACAAACAATACAATTGGGAATTGAGGTGGAGAGAGGTCCATAAAATGCCAGATTTTAAGTCACTAGTGGCATGTTCTATTTTTGGCCTGGCCTCCTTTTCTTTTTACTAGTGCTCAAAAGTTTGTCATAAAATTGCCTGTAATTGGGCAGCCCGAGTGGCTCAGCGGTTTAGTGCCATCTTCAGCCTGGGGCGTGATCCTGGAGACCCGGGATCTTACTGCTCCCTGCATGGAGCCTGCTTCTCCCTCTGCCTGTGTCTCTGCCTATCTCTGTGTCTCTCATGAATTAAAAATAATAATCTTAAAAAAAAATGCCTGCAATTTCCAGTTTACACAGAACTGTTCGTGTACTCCATGAGTCCATCAAAAGGTTATAAGTATATGCTATGTGATTATCCTCTGTAATTTCTAATACCATATATTATACTTTTTAAGAGTTTGTCTTAACATGGCCTTTATTTCTGGGCCTTCAGCACACTCTATTACTTCATTAGCATCTTGCACTCATTCAGATTCTTTTTTCTAGTGCTAGACATTGCTTGCCTGAAAATTGCCAGAAGTTCCCAGCATCATGCTTCTCAACCAGGGTTTCCATTTTTGGCCTGGGAGCCAGTCCCGTGTCAGCATTTCTCCTCTTATATCTGACCTCCATCCCCTTTACAATAAAGACCCCCGGTGTTCCACAATTTCAATTTTAGAAAACTTCAAGCTCTGCTTTTTTTGTACTGTGTTTTTTTTGTTTTTTTTTTTTTAAAATCTAGTTTTGAAGAGTGCAGTCTCCCAGTGGTTGCCACTCTGGCGTCAGGGTAGCTCTGACAAGTTTTTTCTTGCTGCCCATCAAAGTGTCAGTACATAATCCTTGATTCAGTTTTTAGGAGAATAAAGTTTAAAGCATCTTGATGCAGTTCTCCCTGTTACATCACTACTCATTTGCTTCTGGAGCATTTCCAAAACAAGTTTCTACTGGTTCACTGGTTTATTGTCTACGTTCTTCGTTAGAGTTTGAGTTCTTGAATCCTATGACCTTTTTTGGCTTGCTCACCTCTGACTCCTGATCCCTTTGAATAAGCACCATGTACATTGTAGGCAGTCAAGAGATGTCTGTTGAACAAATGAATGTTACTGAGCCTCAATAATGCATTCCCTTCTCGAATAGATGAGCCTCAGACATACTTTATCATTAAGGATATATCTAAAAGTTGGTACAAGGGTTCATGAGATCTCATGGCGGGGAGGAATGATACAAAGTGCTGAAAGAAAAGGCTGCCAATCAAGAATTCATCTGTCAAAACTGTCCTTCAAAAATGAAAGCAATTTAAGACATTATTGAATAAAAGGTAAAGGAGTTGCTTGTTAACAGACCTGCCCTACAAGAAATGCCAAAGGGAGTCCTTCACGCTGAAATGAAAGGACACTCAATCATAATTTGAAGGCATATAAAGAAACAGTAACTACACATAGGTAAATGTAAAAGCCAGTGATAAACTTTTTGTTTGTAATCCCTCCTATTTCCTACATGACTTAAAAGATAAATGCATAAGAAATTATCAGTCTGTGTTAATGGGCACGTATAAAGCTATAACTGTGACAGTGATAAGCAGGAATTAGTTAAGAGCTAGGGAGGAGCAGTGTCTCTGTTACTGATTCTAGATTGGCATCAGTTTGGACTAGATTGTTACAAATTTAGGATGTCAGTTATAATCCGCATGGATAAAATATCTTTATAAATATGAACTTCCTCATCCATTAGCTGGATGGCTACATTAATCAGACAAAACAGGCTTCAAGTCTAAAACTACAGGAAACAAATATATTAATAAAATTCATATACCAGGGATCCCTGCGCTGGGTGGCACAGCGGTTTGGCGCCTGCCTTTGGTGTGGGGCGCAATCCTGGAGACCCGGGATCAAATCCCACATCGGGCTCCCGGTGCATGGAGCCTGCTTCTCCCTCTGCCTATGTCTCTGCCTCTCTCTCTCTCTCTGTGACTATCATAAATAAATAAATAAATAAATAAATAAATAAATAAATAAATAAAAATTTAAAAATTCATATGCCAATTATATACACACTAAACCTCAAAATACATGAAATGAATATTGACAACTATAGAGAGAGTGAGTTCTGCAGGCACAAGTAAAGGTTTCGCTACCCCACTTTCAATAATGGATAGAACATCTGGACAGGAGATTGATGTGGAAAAACAGAAAATAGGCACCTGGGACACTTAAGTTGGTTAAGTGTCGGATTCTGGATCTCCGCTCAGGTCATGATCTTGAGGTCGTGGGGTTGAGCACTGAATCAGGTTCCACATTGAGCAAGAAGTCAGCTTAAGGATTTTTTTCTTTCCTTTGCCCTGCTCGTGCACTGTCTCTCCTCCCACCCCTTCTCTCTCTAAAATAAATCTTTAAATAAAGATTCTTCCTTTGTCCCTCCCTCTGCTCACGCACTCTGTCTTGAAAAATAAAAGTCTATTTAAAGGGATCCCTGGGTGGCGCAGCGGTTTGGCGCCTGCCTTTGGCCCAGGGCGTGATCCTGGAAACCTGGGATTGAGTCCCACATTGGGCTCCCGGTGCATGGAGCCTGCTTCTCCCTCTGCCTGTGTCTCTGCCTCTCTCTCTCTCTCTCTCTCTCTGCTATCATAAATAAATAAAAATTTAAAAAAGTCTATTTAAAAAACTAACAATAACAACAAAGCAACACTGCAGACGCAAGTAAACCTAACAGACACAACGCTACCAGCAACAGGACACAGAACATTCTCCAGGTAGACCATACAGTAGACCACAAAGCAAGTATCAAAAAACTAAAAAGCTTTGGAGCCCTTGGATCTTCTCTAACCACAATGGAATCCAACTAGAAATTAACAGAAGGAGAGGAAAATAGTATGTAGAAATTAAATCATATACTAGGAACCACTAGTTTCTAGAAAATGGGAGTGAAAATCAAGATGTGTGGAATGCCGTGAAAGGAGTGCTCAGAAGGACACTAAGAGCAATAAAAACATTTGAAAAGACAGGAAACCAAAAAAAGAAGAGGAAATTAAACCCAAAGTGAGCAGAAGGAAGAAAATAGGGACTGGAGTGGAGGAAAAATGAAACAGTAAAAAAATGGCACAAAGGGGCACCTGGGTGGCTCAATTGAGCATCCTTCTCTTGATCTCAGCTCAGGTCTTGATCTGAGCTGTGAGTGCAGGCCATGTGCAGGCTTCCATGCTGGACATAGAGTGTACTTCAAAACAAAAGTACAAAAAAAAAAAAAAATCAACGGAACCGAGTTGGTTCTTTGAAAAAAATCACCACCATTGACAAGGCTTTGGCTAGGTTGACTCAAAAAAGAAATAATTATACAAAGAGAAGTCAGAGATCACTAGGGATGCTTTCAATCTCTTGTAGACATGGGTGGCAAAAGTGAAGCTCCTCAAAACACAAGGAGAATCAGAACTCATAAACACAGCAGAAGCACAGAATAAACCCAAGCACTTCTGTTCCACCAAACCTAAGGCTGCCAAGCTTTGTCTACCAAGAACCAAATAGTAAATATTTTAGGTTTTATTGGCCACATATGTTCCAAGTCACATAGTTTTTTTTTTTACAGTCTTTTAAAAATAAAAATGATTCTTAGCTCTAGACCATACAGAAATTGGGTGACAAGCAATATTTGGGCCATGGACTATAGTTCGCCTGACTGCTGCACTACACCGATGGGTAAGCATGGAAGGAAATTCTAGAGCAGCATTATCCAGCATGGTAGCCACTAGCTATTGGGCTCTTAAAATATTGCCAGGTGGTAAAGCGTAAAATACACACTGGGATTTGCAGACTGTCCAGAACTAAAGAAAATGGTGATTTCATCTGAGGTAAATGTCTCTTGAAGCAGGTGACTGTGTCTCTCATGTTTACCACTGCATTCCCAGCACCATCGTGAGCAGTTAACACTTGAAGAAAGAAAATTGCTACCAGCACTGTCTGCTCCTTAGGGCTGCATTTGTCAGCTACCCTCCACATTCCTTTCGACGACACCTGTGAAGTCCACCCACTGCACACTGGCTGTCACCTGCAGAACTGCATGGAATGAGCCTGTGTTGCCCACAAGATCCTGTAAGTGTAGTGTTCATGTTTAAGGAGCTTGTCACCATTACTCTCAACACAAGACACTGTTGACCTCCAGCAACCACTTTTATACATCCTCTAAGTTTACAGTAATCAACTCTTTAATATTCTCTAATTCATATTTTCACAACCATCTTTTAGAGTCTATAAAACAGTGAACTTGTTCTAAATCAGATCCAGACCACCATCCTCTTTTACCACCATCCTCTTCATCACTGCCCCCATGGCTGAGGTCTTAAAAACACATCCAAAATCTTAACACACATTTAAAAAACAGCCACAGTGGGGCACCTAGGTGGCTCAGTCAATTAAGTATCTGCCTTCAGCTCAGATCATGATCCCAGGGCCCTGGGATTGAGCCCCACTTCAGGCTCCGTGCTCAGCGAGGAATCTGCTTCTCCCTCCCCCTGCTCCTGTGGTCTTGCTCACTCTCATTCTCTCTCTCTCTCTCTCTCTCTCTCCCAACCTCCCTTGAAGTTTTTTAAAATTTTTTTTATTAAAAAATAAGGACACCTGGGTGGCTCAGCAGTTGAGCCCCTGCCTTCAGCCCAGGAAATGATCCTAGAGTCTGGGGATCGAGTCCCACATTGGGCTCCCTGCATGGAGCCTGCTTCTCCCTCTGCCTGTGTCTCTGCCTCTCTCTGTGCCTCTCATGAATAAATAAAAACTTTAAAAATTAAAAATTAAAATTAAAAAATAAACAGCCACAGTACCTTTATCGTACTCTACAAAACTAGGTGATTAGAATATGACTTCTGTCTGGCAAAAGATAAGGTAGATTGATCCTCCAAATGTCAGAATCTGGCTCTCGTGTCTCATAAGTATTATTCAATCTGAAACAATTCTCCAGTTTGTGTCCTCTCATTTTATGTTTTTTGTTTTGTTTCTCCTGGAGAATTGTCCACATCCCAGTTTTGTCTGATTGTGTTTTCAGTTGACCTGTGACACTGTCCCATATGTCTTCTGAGTTGATGGGTGCTAGAGGCTTGATTACATTCTGATTCATTTTGTCATCAACCCTTTATGGGTAGCGCTCTGTGGACTATTGTAGCACGCTGGGATGCACGTGTATCTGGTTGTCCCACATCAGTAGTGACAATGATAACCTTTTTCCATCAGCCTTTCACCTTAATTTGTCTCCATTAACTAATGCTTCCTAGGCCTGTCGTCTCACTAGGACTTGCAAAATGGCAATATTTCTAATTTTGTTAATCCTCTCCCATCTATGTTTTTAAATTCACCAGATCAGTTTACTCAGTTTCTTGACCTCCATCCTTCAGTGATCATATTCTTCACTCTTCTTGAGTTCATCCCACAGACGATCCTGTGCTTGGCTATTACTGACATCTTCAGCATCTAGACTCAGTTTTGGGCAGCCCGGATGGCTCAGTGGTTTAGCACTGCCTTCAGCTTAGGGTGCAATCCTGGAGACCTGGGATAGAGTCCCACATTAGACTTCCTACATGGAGCCTGTTTCTCCCTCTGCCTATGTCTCTGCCTCTCTCTGTCTGTCTTATGAATAAGTGAATGAAATCTTCAAAAAAAAAAAAAAAGACTCTCAGTTTCAAGTATTGTGTTTAGTTTTGTCTTTTCATTCCACCCAGCTACACCCACTGATCAACCACCATTACTTCCCACCTACCCCCCACTTCTGGCAATGCAATTTTCTTCAATTCACAACTTTTCCTCATGAACCCTCCTGTGTAACTCTTAAGAGTATAACAGAAACGTAAAGAAAAGCGATCACTTACACAAGGTTACAAATCAAATCAATCATATCTCAATAGAGCTGGCAGAAAAATAAAAATCAGTTCTCTTGGATGTTATGAAAGGATCCACTTCATCTGGTATTACGCTCTTTCTTAGAGTCTCCTTTGTCTGATATTAGCATACCTGTGGCAGCTTCCCATTACCACTTGCAAGATGTGCCTCTTCCTTTCATTTTAATCTATTTGTGCCCTAATATTTAAAGTACAATTCTTCAGGGATGCTTGGCTGGCTCAATCAATAGAGCACACAAGTCTTGATCTTGGGGTTGTGAGTTCGAGCCCCATGTTCAGGATAGCGATTTTTTTAAAATTAAGAAAATAAAAACTAAAGTATAATTCTTGACGCAATATAGAAGTGAAACCTGCATTTTCTTCCCATGTGGCAATCTGTGTTTTTGCTGGATTAATAGGCACAAGAAGGCACTTCTTATGCAGGCAATATTTATTCCTTCCTCTGGTTGCTGATTACATTGCTGGTACCTTGTAAAGATTCATCTTGCTGCACATTTATGAAGTATGCAATTTTAAACTTTTAAAAGTTTACTTAAAAATTAAACAAGATTAAAGGCATTTGTGTCCACCGGCAATAAATACAGAGCTCTAAACACATCCCACCTTTACACTCCATATAGGCTCAAAGTCTCCCTTGAACCAGAAGATACCTCCAGTGTATGGAGGGATTCCACACAGCATCTGTTTCTTGTGGTTAAGCTAACTCAGCACCAGGGATGTTTTTGTCAAGAGTTTGGGAGCTTGAGGCTGGTGACTGTTCATCACTGATTTCCAAGCTGTGTCGGATCCCATATCCAAAGTATATGGCAAATCCTAGTAGGGAAATGAGACAAAGTGGTGGAAAAGTAGGCACTCCTCCAACTTAGAAGTGCCCAACAGGCCACCTACTATGGCCTCTGAGACAGTTTTTAGAAAAGGTAGTAGGAAGAGGGTTGAGTTGTGGCCCTTAAGAAGCCTCTTTTCTTCAGAAAGCCACTTACCAATCACCATCCAGACGCCAAATCGGGCCCAGGTCCCAGAGGTCATCTGCATCATCAAGTAAACATTCGCAAAGATGCTCACCAGTGGGAGCACAGGCAGAGCAGGGACCTGTGGGCAAAATCAGTTAATCCCTGAACACAGCACAGATGTCTGAAAGGGAGATCCCCATGTGGGTGGGAAGACTCCAGTCCTATGCTGTACCTTCAGTGCCTGCTCATATCCCACCAAAGTACCCACTGGTCTAGCTGAGTGTGGATCAAGGAACAGTTCATTATTTTAGCAACTGACTATTTTCTTCCCTGACCCAGCCCAGAGTGGTAAGACTTCAAAGCATACAGAGTTCATTCACTCAGGGTGGGTCGTCTGGGGGCATAAAGTCACCTACCTTGAAGTGAAGAGGAGTGGGGTTCTGGGGCTGTCTCCAGATGATGAAAGTGAGCCCAATAATGAGCAACAGCAGCAGCACACACCCTGTGATATACACCGGGTCTCCAGAGAACAGATGGCTGGGCCACTGGGCCAGTATCAGGCACAGGATTGTCAGCAGGAGAGCTGCAAGGGTCAAGTTGGAAGAGAACAGGTCCAACTCCAGAAGATGTTAACAAATATGTCAAGGCCCCGGGTCACACCCTACCTCAAACTACCCCCATTAAGAAGGGGCACCATCTCTCTGAGCCTCCTCCTTGGCTGCCAAAGACACACAGTCCCACCCATCTCACCATAGACAGAAATCCCACTGCTCACCAAGCAGTAAGGCACATCCATAGGCAATGTGGCCAGATTTCAGAGTTGGGGTGGTGTTGACTGGGTTACAGAGACTCCACAGAGCTTGTACGGTTCCTGCTTCAGGTATAGATTTCAAAGAACTTGCTTGAGGTGCAGGCTTTCTCTCAATTATTTCCATCTCCGTTTTCTCGTTCTTGCTTAAATTCTGGTCTGGCTGGTACCTGAAATGACAGGTATTAAGACAATACCAGCCCCTGTTCACGCAACATCAGGCAGCCTGATCCACCTTTTCCCTCCCTGAGTGCCACAGTTTACTTAGGAGGCAGCATGAAGCAAAGACGATTAGCTCCTCATCAAACCCAATGAGTCCAAGAACCCCCAGTCAGATGCAGTGGAGTCTCACCTGAGAACAAGAACGGAAAAGACCACCAGGGAGTAAGCAAGCAAGGTCCCAATCGACATCAGGTCCACAAGATCACTGAGCTCAAAGAAGAATGCCATGAACGCTAGAATGAGGCAGAAACAACGTGGGGGAGGGGATGAGGAACCACTGGAAATATCCAAGTAAGGGAAATAGATCGAAGGAGTGGGTTTTGTTTCCTCACCTGCAAAAGTTCCAGACACTATGGTGGCCATCATGGGTGTGTGCGTGCGGGGATGAATCCGGGCAAGTCCCCGGAAAAGGAGCCCATCATCTGCCATTGCATAGATCACTCGAGGCATGGGGAACATGGTGCCCAGGAGGCTGGAGGAGAAAACGAGAAAGTTTGTGAGGAGCAGGGCAGACCCCAACCGGCGTGGGGTCAGGTGGCTCTCCCTCTCATCTCTCAATCCCAAGGGCTGGGATAGCTGACAATCTCCCAGACAGGGAGAAGGCAGACACGGACCTGGATGAAAGAGCACAGAGAGTTCCAGCAGCCACGGTATATCTGGCAGGGGCCCATCCCACATAGAGAAATGCCTGTGGCAAGGGGCTGCCCGGATGAATCTGGTAGTAGGGCATCATGAGGGTGAGTGCCGCTGAGACACCAAAATATGCCAAAAAGCAGATGAAGAGTGAGATTATGATGCTCAAGGGTATGGAACGCTGAGGATCACGGGCTTCTTCTCCTGCAGGATGGGTGGAAGTACCAGGTCAGGAAAACATGGGGGTGAAGGTGCAAAATCCTCTTCCCTCTTACACCTTCAATAGGCTACCCTACCCTCCTATCAACCCTTTGCCCAAGGGCAGCCCAACTGTGCCCAAAGCCCTGATGGGACAGAATGTCCATGTTACCTGTAGTGGCAATGCAATCAAAACCAATGAATGCATAGAAACATGTAGCTGCTCCGTGGAGAATCCCTTCAAAGCCAAAAGGCATAAACCCTCCAGAGCCCAGAGGGCCCAAGCTGCAGTGAGAAGGCACAAGGAAGGACAAGGGTGTGTGTATTCAGCCATCTCTACTGACGGCTTAGTCAATACCGTAAATCCTGGGCTCCATTACCCTTGCTCATCATCTGGATCCACCAGCCCACCATATTCCTCTTTATTCCCCATGGTGTTCCCAGTTGTACACCCCACACACATTACCATACCCAAGAGTGCCCTCCTAACCTAGAAGTGTCATTGGAGGCAGACATGGCCAGTTTGTAGTCCTCTTCAGTGAGCTGCCAATGGTGTAGATCACCCTTAATGAAGCCAGAGAGGATGATGAAGCTAAGAACCAAAACGTTCACACCCGTGAACACCTTGGTAAACAGAGCCGACTCACTAGCTCCCAGAACCAGGAGTCCTGTGGGAAAGATGGAATATGAAATATCCAAAATAACTAAACCCATATGACAGAAAGCAAGACCGATGGTCGCCAGGGGCTGAGGGGAGAGGGGATGGGCAGTGCCTGCTTAGTAGGTATGAGGGTTCCTACTGGAGGAGGAAGACCAGTCCTGCAGAGCAGTGGTGACTGGTCCTTTGGAGTTTGTTTTTTTTTTAATATTTATTTATTTATGATAGACATAGAGAGAGAGGCAGAGATACAGGAGGAGGGAGAAGCAGGCTCCAAGCCAGGAGCCCTACGTGGGACTCCATCCCAGGACTCCAGGATTGCACCCTGGGCCAAAGGCAGGCGCTAAACCGCTGAGCCACCCAGGGATCCCCCTTTTGGGGTTTGGAACTACATGAAGGTGCACATCTCTGTGCCCTCTAAGATGACTAATTTCTTATTGTGGTAATCAGTTTGTGACATACACGCGTGCCAAAGCACCGTGTTATACACCTTGGACTTGCACAATGTCGTCCATCAATTAAATCTCATAAAGCCAGGAATAATAAAATGAAGTGGTTAATTTCATGTTGTGTGAATTTCACCTCAATTAAAGAAAAAAAAAACAACTTTGGTCTCAGTGCAGAAGAAGAAACCCATCAAAGTAAATGATTCTCAGCTGGGGGGTGACTTTGTTCACCAAGAGACATTTGGTAATGTCTGGAGACATTCTGTCACAGTTTGGGGGTGTAGGTCCCACTGGCAGCTAGTGAGTAGAGGCCAGGGAAGCTGCTCAACATCCAACAATGATTAAAACACACACGCCAGTCATGCACAGGACAGCCCTTCACACCAAAGACTGATCCAGACCAAAATGTCAATAGTGCCCAGGGACAGACCCAGTAGTCTAAGATTTGCCTTCCTGTTTCTCACTGCAGACCCTCCCTCCCAGTGCTGCTCACCATTCCATGCATAGTTCCCCCTCCACACCCCACTCTTCCTACCCTAGATGATCCTGGCCTCACCAGTGAGCAGCAGCACCAGGCCCAATGCGAAGAAGTCCAGGTGTGTGGCCAGCACGTGGGGGGCCTGCAGAGAGAAACTTCCCTGCAGGACCCGAGAGACCTGGTTCCCAGTCAAATCATCGAAGGCAGAGCTCCAGGCCCTGGCCACACTGGCAGCACCTGTGGGAGTAGTAGGACAAATATTCCCTGACGAACATAAACTGAACTCCTACTATGAACTATGGAATATCTTTTTTGGGAGAGAAAGAAACCAGATGAAATACTTAATCTCTAAGAGTTTCCTTTCATGGGGTGGGGAAAGCAGATACAGGTGATTCATAAAATAGGTCAACTAATTAATACAGTAAGAAAGAGATGGAGGTTATTGCAGGCAAGAAAAAAGAGAGGCTGGGGAACAGGGGATGAGCCTTGCCAAACCTGTCTCCCTCTCTCCCACCTGAGCTCTGCCTCCCCATGTCCTAGAGTCCGCATTCTTGCCCAGTTTCATTGTTCTAGGAAAGCAGGATGGAACTGAATAGAGGAAGTTTGGGGGTTTTCCTGCACTATTACCCACCTACCCCTGACAAGGTGGATGACAAAGTGCTCAGGATGGAGAGTGAAGCCCCAGCACCTCTCCTCTCTGAGCCCCCGGCTCAAACCTTGAGTCTCTGGCTCCCCACACCGTCCCCGCCATCTCACCAATGACATAAGAGAGTATGAGGTTCCAGCCAGTGATGAAAGCACACAATTGTCCCACTGTGACATAGCTGTAGAGATACGCAGAACCGGAGCCTGGCACGCGGGCCCCAAACTCCGCATAGCAGAGCCCGGACAGCACAGAAGACAGGGCTGCCACCAAGAAACAGATGATGATCGCCGGCCCAGCTTTGTCCTTGGCCACTTCACCAGCCAGGATGTATACACCTGCTCCCAGGGTGCTGCCCACACCTAAGGCCACCAGATCTAGGGTGTTCAGGCACCGGGCCAAGTGACTCTCAGCCCCCTGCTTTGGCCCCAGGGGCCGCCTGCGCAACAGCTTCTGACCAAACTGGCAAACATGCTGACACAGCATCCTCAGTGGAGCTGAGTGGAGGACGCCAAGATCTGCAGAGAGAACAAGAGAAAGCTGTCAAGAACACCCATCGCCCATGGCCTTGGGGGTCATCAGACAGAAGACCAATCCTGCAGAGCACTGGTGACAGGACATCCTGGGCAAGTCACTCATCTCTGCACTTCCATTTCCTCAAATGAGAGTAAGACTTTTAATACATTTCAAAGTTACCAGGAGGGCTACTTGAAAAGAAGCAAGCAAAAGCTTCCAGGACAGTGCCTGGTACTCGGTAAAGCTTGTCCCTATTCGCTGAGGGGACAAGAGCCCTGACTCCTGAAGCCAGAACATCCAGGTTCTCACATCAGCCATCTGATTTCACACAAGCCACCTGCCACTCTTTGGCCTGCCATCCATAAAACAGGGGAGATCATCATCGTCATTACTCCCTCTCTCCCGTGTTAGGTGTGAAGCGACGCTTGCTTTGCCAGGCTTGGCGATCAGAGAGCTCACACTCCACACATTTCTACACCAAGGATCCTGCAACCTGTAGCTTTGCCTCATTCGCCTGCAGAGCAAAATGGAATTGGAATTTTGAGCTGGGGCAGAATGAGACGGAATTTGCAGGGAGGGAGACTAGCCTGGCTTGGGCAGAGCAGGAAACCAGAATGACCTCCCAGTTGCCTGGAGGGAGGTAGGACCTCTCCGAAGCAGAAAGACAGGCCTGCTTCTGCCTGCCTCTCTGGGGACACAGAAGGTCTCCCCACTGCTCTGCTCTGCTCTGCAGAGCAAAGCTGAACCAGTCAACACCCAGTATTGTCTGGGACTTCTGCCACTGATTATCCAAAGTACCAGTTTAGCGTTTTGGTCAAGAGCAAGGATTCAAGAGCCAGGAACCAGGCCAGAAGAATCCTGGCACCATGTCTACCTGGGTGCCACTGAGTGGCCACTTACTTCTTTTCCTAATGCTGTAGATGAGCCTTCATGCACCACTACTAGGAACATAAGATGGTCCAGCTGCTGTGGATAAGGTGTAGTTCCTCAAAAAATTAAAAATGGGACCACCCCATGATCCAGCAATTCCACTTCCGGGTATATATAGCCAAAAGAATTGAAAGTAGGGTCTCAAAGAGCTAATGGTACACCCCTAAACATAGCATCATTCACAACAACCAAAAGGTAGAAGCAACCCATGAGGAAGGGATAAACAATGTGGTGTATACACATAAAGAATTTTTTTAAACTTTTTTTTGATTCAAGATCTATGCCTAACATGCTTGAACTGACAACCCTGAGCTCAAGAGTTGCATATACTCTACAGACTAGCGCCCTCATAGAAATATTGTCCAGCCTTTAAAAGACAGGAAATTCTGGTGCATGCTACAAAATGGATGCATCTTGAGAACATCATGTAATTGAAATAAGCCAATCACAAAGACAGATGCAAAATACCACTTCTATGACATACTGAGAGTCATCCATTCAACTCATGGTGCCAGAAAGTAGAATGGTGGTTGCCACGGGCTGGAGGGAGTGGGGCTAGGAGTTGTTTAATGGTTACAGAGTTTCATTTCGCAAGATGAAGAGTCCTGGAGATTGGTTGCACAATGTACACTGAAAAAATGGTTTAAGGCGATAAATTTTATGTGTACTTTACCACCGTTTCTTTAAAATGCTGCTGATGATATAAGTACAGGCAGCCTCATTGCGTTGCTGGGTGTACCAAACGAATGACCAAATGTGAGGCTAAAATCACAAACCCCCCGGAAGGTTTAATCTCTAATACTATTTGAACATAAGTCAAAGAAAGGGAGTCTTAGAGCCTCTGGACACTTATCCAGGCACCTCCACCCCCACCCCTTGCACACACAGCTCCCAGCAAACGGGTTCTTCCATCGTCCACCCGCAGCCTCCCCAAGCAACTGCACACCTGGGTTGCAGGTCTCTTTAGGAGTTTCTGAACTGTGCGCCCAGTCTCCTACGGAAGAGGGGTTACCCAAAGCTTACCAGGTCGTGGGAGCAGCCCCTGGAGCACTGAATCAGTCAGCAAAGCTGAGTTAAACTGAGTTGGGCTGGAGCTTATCTAGCTCTAAAACCAAAGCTGGGAGTCCACAGGCACCAAAGACAACTCTTATTTCCTGTAGGTGGGTGGGGATGGGTGGGGCAGGGTGTTTCTGCAGCAATGCTGTCAGACAGGGCCGCTCCCGCAGTTCCGCTCAAAGCAGAGTTTTAAGATGTTTTTGTTCAATTGTGGTCAGATACATGTAACATAAAAATTCCCATATTAACCAGTTTTAAGTGTACGGTTCAGTCGTGTTAAGTACATTCATATTTTATCACCACCCTCATTTCCAGAACTCTTCATCTTACAAAGCTGAAACTCTATCCCATTAAGCAACAATTCATACTCCCCACCTCCAGCCCCTGGCAGTTACCATTCAACTTATTCAAGTTTCTGTCTCTGTAAATTTGATCTTTTTAATAAAAAAAAAAGATTTTATTTATTTATTCATGAGAGACACACACAGAGAGTGAGGCAGAGTCACAGGCAGAGGGAGAAGCAGGCTCCATGCAGGGAGCCCGATGCGGGAATCTATCCCAGGTCTCCAGGATCAGGCTCCAGGGCTGACGGCGGCGCTAAACCGCTGAGCCACACAGGCTGCCCCTAAATTTGATCTTTAGATACTTCATAGAAGTGGAATCATACAATAATTGTCCTTTTGTGTCTGGCTTATTTCCCTTAGTATAATGTCCTCAAGGCTCATGCATGTTTTACCATGTGTTTAGAATTCCCCTCCTTTTTGATGCTCTGTAACACGTATACCCTTGTATGTGTACACCATATCTTGCTTATCCATTCATTGGTCAATGGCACTTGAGGAGCATCCATGTTTTAGCTATTGTCAATAATGCTACTATGAATACAAGCGTACAAATATCTTTTCCAGACCCTACTTTCGATTCTATAGGATATGTAACCAGAGGTGGAATTCCTGGGTCATAGTCTTGGGGAGCAAGAATCCATGTTACCTTCAAGGGTCCTTCTAGCTAGACTAAGAATCCACGTGACATGAAACACATTAACAGGACAAAATCAAATTTAATAGCATAGATCTGGGGAATCCACACACACTTGGAAATTGCAAAGACAGTCAGACAAAACAAAGTGTACATGTCAACCTGAGTCTGGGACTTCAGAGGGAAGGTATATATATATAGTTCACAGGGCAATAAGAAGAGCAGATGTTGGGGAGCCTGGGTGGCTCAGTGGGTTGGACGCATGCCTTCAGCTCAGGTCATGATCCCAGCGTCCTGGGATCCAGCCCCAGTGGGGAATCTGCTTCTCCTTCTCCCTCTGCCCCTCCACCCCACTCATGCTGTCTCTATCACTCTCTGACAAATAAAATCTTTAAAAAAGGAGGACAGATGTTTTGGGGCATCTGGGTGGCTCAGTTGGTTAAGTGCCTGACTCTTGATATTGGCTTAGGTCATGATCTCAGGGTCACGAGATGGAGCCTTGCCTCAGGCCCCACCCTGAGCAGGGAGTCTGCTTAAGATTCTGTCTCTCTCTGCCTCTACCCCTGTTCGTGTGTTTTCCTTCTCTCCCCACTCCCCCCCAAAACAAAGAACTGCTGAAAAGCGGATGTTTGGTAACTCTATGTGTGCCTTGCCATCCAGATGGGTCATTCAGATAAAATTTATCTTTGCTAATAACCCTTATTCTTTTTTTTTGTAATAACCCTTATTCTGGAAAGACCCTCCAATTTAGATTCTTCTATGTAGTTAAGGGAGGGGGAAGTTTCTCTTGAGCCCTCAGGGTCTCAACTGCCTTCAGCTTAAAATAATCTATATGCCAATATGGCACATATCAGGGGATGGGGTTATCCTGTACCCCTTCGATATATTTCTAAGATGTTTAAATGCTTGAATCCACTTGATCATCAAGAATTCAGAGAAGTAGGGGCTGTATAACATAGGACCCCACTCCCAACCCTCCTCCCTCCCAGTCTTCTTAGGCTCCATGACTGTCCAGTCTGTCCATGCCTGGACACTCAAGTGCAGGGGACCCCCAAGCCGAGCTGGGCCCCAATCAGAAGAAGGGGAGCTCTGATGTTCGTTAATTCACAGAGTGAAAGCATTTAACAAGCATTGCGCATGCACCCAGCCTAGCACATCAGGACAGGAAAAGACAGATGAGTGTGACTTGATCCTGTTCTTCAAAGGCGCTCGGTTTGCTGGCACAGCAGAGCACGCAGGCCAAGAGAGGCAATGTGAGACAAGATATAAGCAGCACTACTCCTTCACAGGAGGGACCCGGGCACGGGAAGGGACATGGCACAGCTGAGGCTGCTGGGGAAGGACTGACCAGATTACTACATGCATCAAATCCCCAACATGTTGAAACACTGTGTATAAGCCACCAAAATGGGATTTAAATTCAGTAACTCTTCCACAACTTTCACTAACCACACAAGTGGAGGGAAAGTGGCTTAAACTGCTGTGGAGAGTTGTAATTGGTTGTGTGGAAACCAACTCAGAACTCAGGGCTGAAAATTATTTTAAAAGGAGGACATGTGAGACTCAGCTCATGTAGAAAGAAGTCTTCTTGACACTTCCCTTATCTGACTCAAAGCAGAATATATTTACAGTATAAGGCTATGATAAACTCTCTCTTCAGGGAAGAGCTGCTCCCAAGAAGGAAAGTAATAAATTTATTACCAGAATTCCCTGAAGATCAAATGACCACTCAAACCTGCATAGGCAAACACTATCACAAAGTTTCTTTTTTTTTTTTTTTAATTTTATTTATTTATTCATGAGAGACACAGCAAGAGAGAGAGAGGCAGAGGCAGAGACACAGGCCGAGGGAGAAGCAGGCTCCCCACAAGGAGCCTGATGTGGAACTCCATCCCGGATCTCGGGATCATGCCCCAGGCCAAAGGCAGATACTTAATCACTGAGCCACCCAGGCATCCCTATCACAAAGATTCTTATCTCCTGTTGTTCTTCCCATAAAAACCTTTTCTCCCTACTCCCTTCCTCTACTAAGCTAGGCTTAT